CGTGAAGCGGCATAATACTCCGATAATCTCGCTATGCAGTAGTCGTAAAATATATTCCTCACTAGTGTTTTTCACATCACTAGGGTGAGACTCCAATATAATGATTCCGGGTATACTAAAGCTTCACCCGTGATATGGAGACACTAGTGAGGAGCATACTTCATATTTCACTTCGCGAAAAACAGGTGAAACTCCACTTATTACTAATCAATGCCTAATAAATACATATACAAATATATACCGGATAGGGAAAGATAATAATAGTATGTTGTATACTAGTACTAATAATAAGACTAACTGCATATTGGAGTTTTCACCCTAGTGATGTGAAAAAACTAGTGAAAAACATGTTTCACGACTACCGCATATCACCGCGAATACTGCGTTTTGCACCGAGTTTTCGAATGAAACTCCATTAAATATCATATAAGTAGGAAATTACTAAAATAATAATAAGTATGGAGTTCCACCCGTGATGTGAAAAACACTAGCGAAAAAAAACACATTTCACATTTCACTTCGCGTAAAACGGGTGAAACTGCTATGTCTTGTTACTCTTGTAAAAGTTCAGCCATTTTAATGGTGAGGTTCTTCATCTTCTCACTGATGCCCTCCTGAATCTTCAAACACAAGTCCGTCGTGTCACACTCGAGGAACTCCTCCAACCGATCTTCCGAAGACGCCACGAGATCGCATTTCGTGAGGACCTGATTTGAATCTTCCCTTCGCGACACGAAGATATTTTCAGATATTTTCTCATTTTCAGGTATCGATTATTTAATTCTCGTTCACCACGTCAAAACGACGAGCAATTAAATCGATCAAATGTGAATAAATCACGAACGTTTTAACGCACTTCCCATCATATTACATTAACGTGTGGTAAGTCGATATTGATCATCACCGAGAGCGCCGAAAGCGCGCCAGAGATGAATTTAGGCGTATCCGAGATGAACATTACATCGAGACAGTATCTTGGGCAAGAAATGAATCTTCCTAGCGGAGCGAAGC